TGTGTGTATATATATGTGTGTGTGTGTGTATATATGTGTGTGTGTGTGTATATAGGTGTGTGTGTGTGTATATAGGTGTGTGTGTGTGTATATAGGTGTGTGTGTGTGTATATAGGTGTGTGTGTGTGTATATAGGTGTGTGTGTGTGTATATAGGTGTGTGTGTGTGTATATAGGTGTGTGTGTGTGTATATAGGTGTGTGTGTGTGTATATAGGTGTGTGTGTGTGTATATAGGTGTGTGTGTGTGTGAGAGAGTGTGTATATATATGTGTGTGAGAGTGTGTGTGTGTGTATATAGGTGTGAGAGTGTGTGTGTGTATATATATGTGTGTGTGTGTGTATATAGGTGTGTGTGTGTGTGAGAGAGTGTGTATATATATGTGTGTGAGAGTGTGTGTGTGTGTATATAGGTGTGAGATGATTGCTTCCATTGTCCTCATTTGTAAGTCGCTTTGGATAAAAGCGTCTGCTAAATGACTAAATGTAAATGTAAATATTGTTTTTATGCTTAAACCCTTTTTCGTCTTTGACCCATGTGCATATTTAATTAGATCATTTGCATATTTAAGCATAATATTTCAGAAAACTTGTAATGCAAAACATTTGTCTTACTGTAATTATTCAACTGGGGGAAGTATGATGACATTTCTCAATGTTCTCTGAATTGTGTCGAAACAGACGTACCGTTAAACGATCTTAATAAACAAGAAGGCGGGGGTGTGAATGAGAACGAGGATGAGGGCGAGCTGTCAGTCAAACAGCTGGAGGCGGAGAAGAGCCGTGTGCTGGAGGAGGCCATGCAGGAGCTGAAGAAAGACAAACACAACCAGCAGCAGATGCTGGAGATGGCCAAGAGACTGGCTTTACTGCAGGGACGGGATCCTGAGCAGGGTGCGTTCACATCCGCAGACACACGGCCCGCTTCAGTGCTCACTGATTGAAGTCTGATATTCTTAACTAGAAATACAATGAATGAGATTGCAAGGATGCCAGATCAATCTCTAATGCTATTTGCTTTCTTAAAGTTGGCTTTGCTAGGTGTCTCTGACCAGGAGAAAGAAAATATATAGGGCTGGACCTGATTCTGATTGAAGACTACAGTCAAAAAAAAAAAAATTAAGACTTACAAAAATGAATTATAAAAATTTGATTAGAATAAATGATAATTAGATGAATTATATTACATTGGATTAAAATAGATTAAATGAAAATTGATTAAAATAAACGAAAATTTGATTAAAATAATTAAAGAAATAAATAATACATCAATTAATATGAAGATTACAGTCAAAAAAGCTTTAAGGCCTAAAAAATACACACTAGTCAACATTTGAAGTGGATCAAAACCTTTCATCAAAGTTGTCCTAAAACCTAAAACAAAATGTGTTCTTGTCTTGATTAACTTTATTTGATCCACTTCAAATGTTGTCTACTGTATATAATGAAAAAAAAATCATAGATGAAGCATTCACAAAAAGTCACATGCACTATAAAAATTAATGGGCTCAATTTTAATTTAATGCCGACTTTATGCTTAAATGCATGTTTTTGGTCTAAAGGAAAGTCTAAAATGTCTAAAAGTGAGCAATTTATTAGTGCATGTTAAAATTTAAAAAAATTATATTCTCTTCACGATTAAAATCTCATAACTTTCTCGAGCTTTGACTTACATTTTTTGATGAAGCATCGAGGCTGCATTACAGGGGAAAGTAGGAGAGCAGTTTTCATCCAATCAGATCTTAATATACAGATCAAACCTTTTATTCGATGAATTTTCCAATGAATTAATGGAAGTTAAATGCATTGTGTATTAGGCTTTCCGCGATAGACGTGTTGACGGTGATACCAGTGTTAAGCCGCAACACCGATTACGTCACTTGCCCACCGACCCCCACCGTCGTTTAGATTTTTTATAGTAATAAAAATAATTTAGTTCAGTAAAAGAACAGACACTACAATTAAAAACTGAACGCGGCTGCTCAATGCAGCGTGCCTTTACGCCGAATTGCCGCTATTTGAAAGTGAAAGTAAAATGCGCACGCCGCTTTTACAAGCTATTTAAAGGCGAAGGAAAGCTAGAAAAAGAGGGAACGCCCCGCCCCCGCGGTGATACCGGTATTACCGGTGTTGTCACACGTCGATTAACCGGTGGGAAAATGTCCTCACCGTCACAACCCTATTGTGAATGATGCATCATGGTGCCTTTAAATAACTGCGTAATACAGCAGTGTTTCTGTGTTTGTTCAGTCGGACCGTCAGATTTCCAGCAGCCTGACAGTGATGAGGAGACGGAGGAAGAGGCCATCAGCAGTGTGATGAAGCAGGTCTGTGATATTTATAATATCTAAACAAGATGTCCTGCAAATAGTCTTTGTCTGTGATGTCTGTGGATCCATCTAGAAATCACAGAAGACAGTGTTTACAGTGAAACTTTAGTAACTTTTTTTGTGCAGTAAGTCATTGCAGAAATGAAAATATCTTACCAGTCCGAAGTTTGGACGCACTGAACTCAATTTATTCATGAATTGCAATTTTTTTTATGTCCAGATTGAGCAGAGCTGGAATCTAAACGGAGAAACAGCTCAAATATAAGAGTTTTCATTTGTCACATGTTTTCATCACGACATCATTCCCAAACATCTGACTGTTATTTCAGAGTTTCGTGACTTTACTATTACTCTAACGTGTGGAACGTGTGTTCTAACATGTTTTGACATTAAAACATCTAAATTGTGAAATAATAAATCATAAGTCATAATTATGAGATAACGAGTCATCATTATGGGATAAAAATACTAAGTCATAACTACGAGATAGAAAGTTGAATTTAAGATATGCGAAGTCCTATCATAGTCAAAATTATGATACTAAGTCAACTGAGATAAATAGTCATAATTATTACATAAAAGTAAAAAAATATGACTGTTAAGTCATAACTATGGGATGGAAAGTTGAAATTATGACATACCAAGTCAACTATGAGATAAACAGTCATAATAATGACTAAAGTGAAAATTATAACACACTAAGTCATAACAATGAGATAAATAGACATGACATAGAAATAAAAAATGACATACAAAGTCATAATTATGACATAAAATTAAAAAATATGATTAAGTCATAATTATGAGGTACAAGGTCAAAATTGTGAAATACTAAGATTTGTTTTAAAAGTAAAACAAAAGTCTTAATTATGAAAAGTCGAAATGTACATACTAAATCAACTATGAGATAAATAGTAATAATGATGACATAAAGTAAAAAAAAATGACATTCTAAGTCATAACTATGAGATCAAGAGTCATAATTATGACAAACTCAAAATTATGAAATACTAATTCAACTATGAGACAAATAGTAATAATGATGACATAAAGTAAAAAAATGGCATTCTAAGTCATAACTATGAGATCAAGAGTCATAATTATGACAAACTCAAAATTATGAAATACTAAGTCAACTATGAGACAAATGGTAATAATGATGACATAAAGTAAAAAAAAAATGGCATTCTAAATCATAACTATGAGATCAAGAATCATAATTATAACAAACTCTAAATTATGAAGTACTAAGTCAACTATGAGACAAATAGTCTTTTAATTATGACATAACAATAAAAAAAAACATGACATATGACAGCTCAAAATTATGAAATACTAAGTCATAATTATGACATGAAAAGTCAGAACTATGAGATAAATAGTCGTAATTATGACAAAAAGTCGAAAAAGCATAATTGGGACATGAAAAGTTGATGTTAACTATGGTAAGTACAACCTGTTTATTTTGACCTGTGGCACTTCTCATAACAGCCAGCAGAGGTCGCTCTTCAGACAGATCCATCAGAGCTCAGTTTGAAGCGTCCTGTGTGTGTTTTATTGTCACTTGTTCAGTTATCAGAGGAAGCAGCTCTAGATGAGGCCAGCGGCTACAACATCCCACCAGAGCTCAGCGGCCCGATGAACATAATTATGAGGTACAAGGTCAAAATTGTGAAATACTAAGATTTGTTTTAAAAGTAAAACAAAAGTCTTAATTATGAAAAGTCGAAATGTACATACTAAATCAACTATGAGATAAATAGTAATAATGATGACATAAAGTAAAAAAAAATGACATTCTAAGTCATAACTATGAGATCAAGAGTCATAATTATGACAAACTCAAAATTATGAAATACTAATTCAACTATGAGACAAATAGTAATAATGATGACATAAAGTAAAAAAATGGCATTCTAAGTCATAACTATGAGATCAAGAGTCATAATTATGACAAACTCAAAATTATGAAATACTAAGTCAACTATGAGACAAATGGTAATAATGATGACATAAAGTAAAAAAAAAATGGCATTCTAAATCATAACTATGAGATCAAGAATCATAATTATAACAAACTCTAAATTATGAAGTACTAAGTCAACTATGAGACAAATAGTCTTTTAATTATGACATAACAATAAAAAAAAACATGACATATGACAGCTCAAAATTATGAAATACTAAGTCATAATTATGACATGAAAAGTCAGAACTATGAGATAAATAGTCGTAATTATGACAAAAAGTCGAAAAAGCATAATTGGGACATGAAAAGTTGATGTTAACTATGGTAAGTACAACCTGTTTATTTTGACCTGTGGCACTTCTCATAACAGCCAGCAGAGGTCGCTCTTCAGACAGATCCATCAGAGCTCAGTTTGAAGCGTCCTGTGTGTGTTTTATTGTCACTTGTTCAGTTATCAGAGGAAGCAGCTCGAGATGAGGCCAGCGGCTACAACATCCCACCAGAGCTCAGCGGCCCGATGAACAGAGAGAAGGACACGTCCAGAAGGAAACCGGTAACAGGCCTACACACGTGTGCATCACACAAACACATGCTAAAGACTGTAACCAAATAAATGTCTTCTGAATTGTTTGAATTGTGCATTATTTATCCGTTTGTGTTTAAGCTCTCAGCGCCGCGGTCTAAATCAAAGCCGGCAGCTGCTGTCTCACAGATCCGGCGCTTAGACGATGGAGATTGTGATGAGGATGAGGATGATGAAGAGCTGCCGTGGTGCTGCATCTGTAATCAGGACGCTATCATTCGCTGCCACACATGTGAGCGGGATCTGTACTGCGCCCGCTGCTTTAGGTACGAACGGTGACTTTCCGCTCATTTCTCATGCTGTTTTTAGTAGTGTTTACTGAGATGAGCATCACTAGTACTAGTACTCATACTCATCAAACCTCTAGCACTGAGTATTCATAAGAAACCTATTCTAGCATATGATTCTTTACATTTTCAATTTACATTCTTTGCTCATGAGAAAAGAAAAGAAAAAGATAAGCTTTGGTAAATCATAATTCTAAGTCAAAATGATGAAATATTAAGTCATAATTATGAGACAAGTCATTATGACAAAAAGTCAATATTATAGAAATAATAATTCATAATTGTGGGATAAAAAGCCATAATTATGGGATTAAAAGACAAAATTCTGACATAAAAAGTCATAATTATGAGATAAAAAAGTCAAAATTATGAGACGAGTCATAATTATGACAAAAAGTCAATATTATAGAAATAATAATTCATAAGTGTGAGATAAAAAGCCATAATTATGGGATTAAAAGACAAAATTCTGACATAAAAAGTCGTAATTATGAGATTATTATTATGAGACAAGTTATAATTATGACAAAAAGTCAGTTATAATTATGACATCAAATGTTGACGTCATAATTATGATATAAAAAGTCAAAATTATGATGTACGGTGCTGTGTGTACATTAATGAGGAAAAAAAATTAACTTAAATGATTTTAGCAAATGGCTGCAATATAACAAAGAGTGAAAAATTTAAGGGGGTCTGAATACTTTCCGTACCCACTGTACATAACTATGAAACATAAAGTTGACGTAGGAAGTTTTACTAATTGACACGCGTCTATTTTGAGAAAAAAAGTCATAACTATCAAATAAAAAGATTAATAAAAGTTGAAAAGTCATAATTATGACATCAAAAAACATAATTATGATATAGTTAGTCATAACTATGTGATATAATGTCGAAATTTATATACTAAGCCATAACTATGAGATAAAAAGTCATAATTATCAAAAAAGTTATAATTATGACATGAGAAGTTGAAAAGTCATAAATATGACTTTAAAAATAATTATTTTTATATAGTTTGTCATAAAATGTGAGATAAAAAGTCATTATCAAAAAAGTCAAAAACTCATAATTATGACATGAAATGTTGAAAAGACATAATTATGACAGTCGAAACATGATATACTAAGTTATAATTATGAGATAAAAAAGTCATAATTACCAAATAAGACCTAGCAAGTCATAATAATGACATAAAAAGTTGAAATTCTGACTTAAATAGTCATAATGCTTATGTTTAAGTTATAATGCTTTGGTAGATCATAATTATGATTTTTCATGTCAGAATTATTACTTACTATCTCATAATTTTACTGTGAAATATGATTCACCAAAGCATGTTTTTTTTTCTTGTTCTTGTAAACTGTTATGCCACATCTCCCCCGGTCAGATTAATTATTGTGACTCTCATATTTGACGAGTTGAATGTTAATCTGAATCTCAGCACATTAAACTCTCGCTCTTCAACATTTGGTCTCATTCAGGAATCATTCACTGGCTTTTTCCATGAGATCTTGCCGAGTGAAATGAGCTGCGTTTGACACACCGTGCAATATTAGTGTGATAATTGTCTTTCATTCTGCCACAGGGAAGGACACGACACATACGACAGAAAAGAGCATCGCACTTCCTCATATACGGCCCCTAAGAAAGGCAAGAAGAAAACCTGAAACCTCCATGAGCAGCCTTATGCTTGAGGTGATTTAACTTATTTCATTGTAGCCAACAGAAAATAATAATGTCGCTTCAATATGTTTCTGCCAACGCAGCAGCCTTAGACTAAGCTTGAGAAATGATTGGTTTGGTTCAGCTTTGTAATATGACTGTCTGTAAATATAAAACTGGACTTAAAACATCAATAAAACACTTGAACATGTGCTCTAGAGAACTAGTTATTGTTTTATGATTTACCTGCATCTGATGTGAATTTTGCCCATTTGTGTTTTGCATTATATCCGTCGTAAAGCAACTCACTCTCGTTCATTTGCACATGTTTGCGAAACAATAACCTCGAATTGCATTATAATGAATGCATTCATAATTCTGAACGTCACACAGAAGGCTTTTTGAGAATTTCCTGTTTGAATGAATGAATGCAGACATCTCTAAACTCATAAACACTCACGCTTCTCAGTTTTATTTGCTGTTGGATTCTCTCTCTGCAGAATCTGATCTTGTTTTCTGTATGTTTTCAGTAGAAGCTGTTCTGAGCAGCATTTCCATGTTGTGATGAATAATTGAAAGGCGAGTATTGAGGGTGAGAGCGCTGCCAGAGACGTGTGACAGGAAGTGTTTGAGAGCCATATACTGACATTTAAGACGCTACAGGACTCTGTCGTCTTGTACTTACTGTGTTTTTGTGGCTGATTTATTTGTTGGCATCAGCTTTGGCAGAGATAACAAAAAGACAAAATTAAAATAAATGGAGAAAAATTAAATGTACAAAGTGTGTTGTGTGTTGTGTGTGTGTGTGTGTGTGTG